TGGCGTGTTAGTCTCGCTTAATTGCAAAACTTCGAATCGTTTCTTTCAAATTAGCGAACAGTTCACACCGACAGCTACAACGACCGGTCGATCGATCAATTGCTGGCTGTTTGTTTTGGTTTTGTTATTGTTATTGTTATTGTTTTTGTTTTTGCACTGGTCGCTTGGGAGGGAATAGTTGTGTGCGGCTGGCCGCTAGCTGAACAACAACTGAACCGTCTGAACGCTCGCTGCAGACTGAAGCGTACAATTTTTGAGGTTTCCCTCGCCTGCCTCAACGGACCAAGCTGAAGATGCTGCCGCAATGTTGCCAGCGTTGGCGTCGGCAGCGGCGACGTCGACTGCAACTGCGACAGCGACTGCTACGTCAGCATCAATGCTGCCAACTGTTGATCATGTCTAAAGCGCGCAGTGACTCTTCGCAGCCCAATGAATGAAAGCCGCCTCGACTTGCAGAGTTTTGTTTTTGTTTATCGCCCGAGTGGCCCTTATGGGCTTTTTGAACTTGGCTTTGGAGTGCAGCGTTTGCAAATTAAATCTCAGCACTTTGCCCCACATAAAGCAATCATAATCGAGCGATTCTACAACAAAAGGCGAACTGTTATTTAATTAAGCCGTTCGCTGGGGTCTTATGCGTGTCTCATTTTCGTCAGCTTGGCAGACGGCGCGTCTCTGACGCCACTTTCCAATTCGCCTTGTCTCTGGCTCTGGCTCTGTTTTGTGATGCTTTCCGAGTTATTTAACCGAATGCGGCCCCATCTTCACAACTGGTTTTGCTTTTTTTTTTTTTTTTTTTTTGTTTTGGCCATGCCAAAATCCTTGCCTGCAGCACTGGCTAAATCTTAATGAGCCGCAGCCACAGCCACAGCCGCAAACATGGCCAAAAGGCCAGCGGGAACACGCGCCGCGACTCGAACTTGCCCAGGCTTCAGCTCCATCTTCAGCTCCGACTGTAGCTTCCGCCTGTCTAGCCGCACAATTTTTGGTAAAAATTTCTCTCAAATTAGCGCCATTTATGCATGCAAATTAGTTCAGCTCTTGGCCACGCACCGATTTCCGTTTCTCTCAGTCGCTTCCTCTTGGCTTGCACTTTTGACCAATATTTGCGCAAAAAGTGCATTTGCTTATCTCATATTCGTTGCATCCACTCTTTGTGTGCTTTGTTCAACTGTTGACCGCTTCAACTGTTGGCCACGTTTGCATCTGCGCCTTGCTGCAACTCTGATGAGCTGCAAACGATGGCGGCTGGAAGCATTGCCTCGCTTTGGCCATGAATGGCTGACCTCAACGCACTTTTCAAGCAATGCAGCGTGCTGAGGACCATTAGCTACAACATGCTCTTTATTTATTATTGAAGAAAACTTCAATTATTTTTATTTAAGATTAAAAGGTTTTTTTTTTAGAGATAGCCTCGAGCTAAGAAGCCAAATCGAAAGTATTGAGACGCTAAAGACTTAATTATATTTAATTAGTATAATTAGGTGGCTAATTATACTTATTAAATAATTATACTGAATAAATAGACTGACTATAAAAAATATTAAATACATTATAAGATAATAAAAGGAATGTTAATTTAATAATTAATTTCGATTTCAATTTTAATGTTTTTATTAAACTAGCTTATATATAGATTTTCCTTTTCACTCTAGCTGAAAGTAAGTCTCAAGTTAACATACATACTTTTCATACTTATGCTTACTATAAGTTAGACAAATTAACAGTATTGTAATTGCACATAATAACGAGTTGCAAAAGTGGCAACAAAAGCTGCGTTGGCTGTGGACAAGTGCTGAGCTGCGTTGTGTGTGTGGCTCTTCCGCAGTTGACTCCAGGTAAGCAGAGGCAGTGAAATGGCATCACAATTTGCCACATTGCTAGCAGAAAGCACTTGAAACCGGTGAAACCATAGGCAAACACAAACACAAACACAAACACAGATACAGACAGGCATTAACCGGCAGAGGCACATCATTTAGCGAATATTATTATTCGTATTTGCGACACGTTTAGCAAGGCGCAGCCTGCGCCCAAAAACCAAACATCGATGTCGATGCCGGGCCACACAATACCATGGCGCATTGACTATGGACCATGGAGCATAGACCATGCAATGCCATGCATAACACCAGCTATAGGAGCCGAAACCTGCTTTCTTCTTCGTGACTTTTGGTATTTGAGCGGGGGCCTCATCTTGTGCGCTTTGAACCCGTTTGCACCCTTTTCCGTTTGCCGCCTTATCGCATATGTATCGTATATGCGTTTCTCCATTCAACTGGAAACAAATTTTCAATTTGACTTTTGGCCAAGCAGTCGGTCGAAGCCGAGTAGCTGGCTTTTTGCCATTTTGTACATCGAACAAATTTGGACTGTGGCAAAGGCAAAGCCTATCCAGAACCGCCATCAACTCGATCTCAGCGGCAGCTGCACACGGCCCCAAACTGAACTTCGGGCTGAACGTGAGCCGCATTTTTCGGCTGCTTGTTAGCCAGCTCTCAAAATTTAAAATGCCAGCTCTCATTTGGACCCATTGGCATGGGGTAATTTCTTAATGAAGTTTTGCGGTTAAAACTGTGATACGTATTGAAGGAGCCGCACATACTTTTGCCTTAGGCCAAATTGCTATCAAACGAATCATGGTGAACCTTATCTATTATATATTGAATAAAACATAATTAATTTTGTTATTCTCCTCGGTTGTGCTGTGCTACGGGTATTCACACTGTCTGGCATTCGCATCGTTTCAAATACTCGTAAACCTCAATCAGATATTCATCGAAATGTTGTAAAATTTTAATTGATCTTCGCCAATTTAACAGCATATTTTATGCTACTTGGCACACCTCCTAATAACTACAACTAATAACTGATGGAACACGAGTCTGCATAATGAATTCCATTTCAGTGCGTATCTTTGAGGGATTCGCGTGTCTATTATGACATGCGCCTGTCAAAATGCCGCAGCCAGTGCCTCCGTCAGAAACGCATCAAATCGGTATTTATATTTATTAGTGGCAAATTAAACAAGTGATCACGTTGAGCATCCGACTATATAAATAGCAGAAGACAATTGGGAAATCTGTTCAAAATATGATATGCTGGCTCGCCGACGATCGGGCGAACAAATCGTTGGTAAGACAAAGGCCTTTGTGAGCGGCGCGTATTAAATAAACATGTCAATAGGAGCAGCAGGCAATAATTTGAAATGCAAATAGTATACAAATAGTAAAAATATATAGGCAATGGATGCATTGATCCAATCGTTTAAGGTGTGAAATATAGACGGCACACACACACACACACACAAATACGCACATGTACACACACATACCATTTGCCAACGCATTTCAATCTCATTTGCATTTGCGTTTTTTTTTTTTTTTGTTCGATATTGGGATTTCAGATTGGACTGGGATTCGTGTTTGATTTTGAGTTTGGAGGTCAGCATCGTCGTATCAGAGACATTTGATACGGATCTTGGTAGCCATTGCGGGCTTCGATGTCGATGTCGATGTCGGCTTCGAATTCGATTTCAGTTTTCATTATTCAGCATAGTTGCGTCCATTCCAGATTATACGAAATGAGTTTTTAAGTAAGCTAAATCAATCATTTGGCAGCTGGTTAATTGTTGGCCACACCCGGCGAAGGCGGCTTCGGTTTGACTCTTGATACCCCCACATTGTCTACTTGTGAAGCTACTGACATGCTGGGCATTAATAGGCAGCATCGCTTTGTTCCACCAGCTGAACTCCTGGACAAGCCACTCGCCCGCTGGCCAGCCATTGTCTGAGGCTTAATGTCAACCCGGCACATTTATCTTCGGCCAACTGTAATTTTTCAGCGAGACCTCGTCCAGATCAAAAATCTTTCTTATAGAAATTGCTGAAACACTCCAAATTATGCCATGGTAACTCGGATTGAGTTGCTGCATGATTGACATGCTAATTCAATTTATATTTGAATTTCTAATGCACACTTTTCCCCCAGCCCTCTAAGATCTCTTTGATTGCAATACAAAGTAGTTGCAACATGTTCTTTATGAATACTTTAATGAATGACAATTAAATCAAACTGTTAGGATAAGACATTGTATCAAGCATTTCGTGGCGAGAAATCAAATTATTTTTATTCGTTTAAATTTTCCCATAACAACAACAAATATTTGAAATTAATAATTAATTTCATTGTAATTTCTTTCAATTTAAGCACCAGAAAATTGAAAAGGAGTAGCTCTCTGCTGATTATATAAGTGGACTTTCTACCCAGCCCACTTAATTAGAATTTCGTTATGCTCATAAATACCTCACACCACGAGCAGAAGGCAGTCGATTATGATGTGAATTGGCTGGCAGCGCTCGTAAAACACCAAATGCCAAGTGGAAGCCATTAATAACGAATGTGTTGGGGATTAGCGCGGCCCAGCCCAGCCCAGCCTTGCCCCGAAATTGACCTGTTTGGTTTTTATGTAACAAAGTGTCGATACAACTAATAATATCATAAATCTTGTCCAATAATTTCTTTGAGTGTTTTGTTTTGTTTCTGTTTTCGGTTATTTGTTTCTGTTTCTGCGCTTTGGTTGCATCAACTTTGCGCACTTTGCTTCACATTTTTAAAACACAAAGCTCAGACAAAATGAAATTAATTTGGTTTATTTGTGAGCTCGACTGTTCCTAAGGTGATTAGCTGTCCGCCGATGAGCCCCGCGACACCCACACCCACCAGATTTAATGGATGCGCTGCCCGAGGCGCCACAGAACGCCCACCTGTGCTGACTGCGTGTGAATAGACCAAACAAATGCGTTTCCAGCGATTCCTCCACATACATTATACGCATATATCTCTATACCTGTCTCTATAGCTGTTGTCTGTATGGGTTAAGCCGATCTATTGTTAAGCTGGCTCATCATTTGTCATACGCGTCGGGGCTGATGGACAAGGTTACTGCGCGCTGCTTTGGCTGACAGTTTATTTTCAACACATCCATATATATCTATATAGCTCTGCTTTATTTGCTTTCAAAATACAATATGAAAACTCTTTACACACACATACACATATGCACACACACACACACAAATACATACGTAATTATAAAATTCACACTACATTATGCAAAAACAATTTCCTTCTGCTTCAATAATGATCAGCTTCAGTTGTTCCCTAAGTTCTGTTCATTCCGTTAGCTTTACTCAGAGCTGGCTATTGGCCAGGTGATTGTCGATGACCACCTGTATGATGCGCATGCAATCCCTTTGCCTGGCTATAGTATTGTCTATCAGCTGCTCAATGAACTGGCTGGCCTTGATGTTCGTATTGGGCGGTATATCCTGGGTGCAGCTGACGTACTTGTTAAAGATCTCCGTGTTCAGGGACGTGGCCAAATAGCGTTCGCTCTCGTCCTGCTGTAGCAGCTTATTCAGCACCTGTGCTGCGGCCAGCAGTTGGTCCTTGTGCTTCTGGTAGGCGCGTAGTTCCTGCAGATTGCCATAATCCACGCCATTCAGCTGCACGTATCGCTCCCCGTCCTCCCCGGTGGCCTCGCCTGCCTTAATTGACTTTTTTGTCAGCAGCTGGCGTATGTGATACTTGCGCTCCGTCACGAAATTGCCCAGCAAATAGCCTGCGAAGCGAGAACAAACGACTCATTAGCATGTGCCACGCGGCATATCCGGGATTGCCGCCCACCTGAGATGAGCATGAAGAAGCCAATGGTGAGCAGGAGTGAGGCGCAGGTGCGCTTCGTCACATATTCGCGCGAGCTGCTGTTGGCCCGCACAGCCGTCTCATAGCTGAGCACCTGATGCATGCTGAGCTCCTCCTGCGTAGCCTTCGCCTATCGGATGGATATCTTATTTTGCCTTTAGTTAGAACACACTCTTTGAACCTGTTCAGCTTGTCTTGGCCAAGTTTTGTTGTGGCACATTCTGTCGAGCAAACGAGGTAGCTGCAAATAGAAATAGAAAAGGGAATATGAATTAAATGTAAAACTATATCGAAATTTAATGCTAATTAGAATGGCCTTTATGATAATGCCTGCCATTAAATAATAATAATATGCACATCCATTAGCCACTCTGTTATATATGTATATATTTGTCCCAGAGGCCATTGACGACATTTGCCACCAACATAAAATTTTAATATAAATTTCTGTCAATTTCTAAATGAACAATATGCGGTAAAATATTTGATAAATGATAAAGGGTGTGAGTGCCACGAGAGGAATTTTGTATAATAAATGGACAAAATCGCAATTTATGCTACGTTAGGGAAACCTACGCAAACGCAAAAATTTGCAAAACTTGAATAGAGCTTGAGATGAAACTTTTGGCAATTATGGGGAAGCGTGCCATAAATAATAGCTCGTGTTAAACCAATTCGCTGTGTGGGAAGGTGAAATTGCGCTCGACGTGGCGTATACGCGATATTTCACATTAATTCCATAAGTAGTAAATTTACGCCATAATTATGAGCTCTAGAAATATTTTCATTCAATCCTTATCTGATATTTTTTTGGAATAATATAAAATACTATTTAATGTGCGCAGCCGCAACTGAATAAATTTTAAATTATTTTAAATAAACGACATATATATTTTTAAATTATTTTAAATAAACTACATTTATATTTGTTCCTTAAAAAGCAAAGTCCAACGAACTCTGCCAGTTGGCTCTAAAAATAAAAACATATTTAAAGAACAATTTCTCACAATCCTATGAACTGCATTCGGCCAGCGGCACTTTCACTTACCCAGCTTTGACGAAACAAACAAACAAGAGCCTTTGAACCGTTGCTGTTTTGCTTTTTGTACTTTTTAGCGCGATGCTCCCCTACAATAATACACTTTATATGGATGTATATGCAAAGTAATTGTTGTTTTCTCTTCAATTACAAAAGAAAAAGTTAGAAATATATAAAATTTTTGTTTTTCTGTTATTATTTTCCGGCAGTGCGCGTTATGCTTGCGGCTCTGTTGGTCCGGTCCGTTCGCCTTGCCACCGACTTGTGCACTGAGCACCAGCCAGAGTCAGGCATCGGCTTTAATATAGCCAGAGCCGGCGACAGTTGGTGGTGAATTCGCTTCGCTTTGCTCCTGTTACGAGCGCTGCCTGTGGGTGGGTGGTGCATGGGCGCAACTTTTCCTTGCTTACTTTTCCCTCATTTCCTCGTTTGGGTCAAGTTGAGATACGACTGTCTGTGTGGAGGCGCTTCACGTGAATGTAGAAATGCCGCAAAAAATTCATGATTAACGGACATTTCAATTTGAGGCGTGCATCTTTGAAGCCGTATCGATTTTCAGACAGCCGACGAGCGGATAGACTAGTTCCCCACATACTTCGCATGGTGTTAATGCCATCGTTTGTTCTCTTTGGCCCGTTGTTTCCTGTAACGCGCCTACTTCAAGACTATCACATGCAACCTGTGCCACTTGTGGTGGCAGGTGCGAACGTGGGTGTTGTCTTGGATTAGTTTACGCTTTACACTTTGATGTTGCCGCTTGCCGACTATTCCAGGTATTTAGTGCACCTGAGTGTAATGTGAGAGACCGGTAATCATAGGTGCTGAATGTAAGCAAACTTGGACTTTAATAGTTATGTCTAGTGCTACTTCCAAGGGCTCTCATATATGTTACTCATACGCAGTATTGTCCTTTCCATAGCCAGAGCTAAATAAATTTCCTATTCTTCGTTGCCCTTTAAGTTCCCCCTTGCTCGGTTTTTCTGGTAAATTGAACAGGTTATTTTTATTTTACTTCACATATTTACCTGCATCTACTCAAGCATCTACTTGTTTCGTTTACAAAAATAAATAATGTAATTGTGTACCAAAAAAATGCAACTTGTCAGGCTAAAGTTGAAGCCGCCCCCAAAGCTGTTGCCGTATAGCAAATGTTGTTGCAGTTGCCGCTGCTGCAGTTGTTGTTGTTGTTGTTGTCAGTGAAAGTGGAACTTGTGCTAACAAGCAGCAATATGTCCTCCTGCCTCTCAAGGGCCGAGAGATACATTTCGCTCGTTTACAAGTGCCGGGCGAAACGAAAGCCAGGATGGAGCCGGCCGGCGGGTGTCGGAGGCGAGGTGCTCGTGGAGGCCAATGTTTCATTAAGTGAAACAGCTTTTGCCACGCTCTATGCGCACTGCACATGTAAATGGCCACCTAAGGGGGGCGGGACAACTGGATACAAGTGAGGACTCCTCGTGTGCGATTCAAGCGCACAAAGGATTTTCAAGGCATCGCAGAAATGGGAACTAGTTCATATGAATGCTAAATGAATCTCCCAATATCAATGAGGTATATTTAATTCAAAAAGTGTCATTAATATTAATTTCTATTTATGTTATCAGCTTGCACCTGCAATCCGGTTCAGTTATTACCAATTTCAATATAGTTCTTTCAGTTTTAATTAATTCCCCCACCCAGGCACAGCCCACTCATTCGCATTCGCAAGTTTAATCTCGAAATTCCATTTCGCGCACACAGAGAAATGTCAGCGCAGTGCAGTGCATTGCACTCTGCATCCTGCATCCTGCGTCCTGCAACGTGCGGGCTGCACGCCCATCGTCAGCCACTGCACTCCACTCCACACACAACTTGAACACGTTCGACGCCATTTTGGCTTGCCACCCACTGTGCCAACCTGTGCTTTCATGTCGCACTCGCACTCGCATTTGCTCTGGCAGCGCATTAGTTTCTAAGTGCATTGACATAGAAACACGCACAGCGAACGCACAAAAGTAGGCAACTTGCAACGTGCAACATGCAACGTGCTACACGGAATTCAGTCAAGTAGTGCCACTTGCAACCAATAAGCGATAGTTGTTGCTCGTATTGATGAACATCCTAATGCACATCCACCAATGGAAAAGTTTTGCATTGAACTATCTGATTTTTTAATATTATTGCAGTATATTTTTTCTTGAAAATGATCTCTTCATAAATGCGACTTGTTGCTGCCTTCAATTGAAGATTCAGCTTGATTTCGCTCTCTCGTTCTCCCTCACTCACTCTCGCTCTTTGCTGACTCTCTTTAAAGCTCTGACTCTCTGTGAAGCTTTAGAGTCGTGTGCATTTCATTGTGGTAAAAGCTCTGCCTAAAGCTCACTGTTATACATGAAAGTTGCCAAACCCAACTAAGCATATGACTCTCCATATAACTAATATAGCAAAGATACTAAAAAATGTCCAAAGCTTCATTTGAGCTGTTCGAATATCTATTGTCTAGTAAATGACAGCTTTGCTTTTTAAGGCCATTTTTAACAGCCTTTTTTGTTTATTATAGAAATGTGTGGTATATTAAATTCTTCATAGAGAGCTTAAGCTCTAAAATCTCTTTTAATTGACAATTAAAAATATTTGTTAAACAAAACATAAAAACTTAAGCTGCTGTGTAAAATACAAGGTAACTAAAAGCTTAATACTTATTATTAAGCCTGTTTATCACTTTATGTTTTGTTTTCAAAATATCTTGATTAGCCAATTAAAAGAGGGAGCAATAAATCTTAGTTAAATAGTATAGCTCGGACAAACCTGAATTCATTTTGGCTTATCATCGATTCCTAGATAGCATATACCAGTGCTTGGGCATATCACATTTTAGTAAACGAGTGCGACTAGTTTGTGGGGCTTCCGAAATCGAAAATCGAACATAATTTGTCTCGCATTCTGCACTTGTTTCCTTGCATTTCTCACGTGCGTCGCTCTTTAGCCCGTTGTGCAGAATGAAATGCAGAATGTGGCAGCAATCAGAGAGCTCTGAAGTCAATTGGCGATTAGCATGGGGCCCTGGGTGCGCCCATTGACTTGTTTCGCATACGCATTGACCGAGTTTTGAGCAAGCGCTAATGTAATTAGCGGCATATACCACGTCGTACTGGCCAATTGCGGACAGTTGAACACGGCTAATTGAAGACACCGCATCGGGCAGCACAACGGCAGACCACATCAGCAATTGTGCAAAAGGATTACACAATCAATTGCCCAGGACATTTGGTGCCGTGTCGTGTTAACTGAAGATGTAAAGTGCTGGCCGAGCCGTTTTTGTTCCAGTTGATATTCTTTAAATAGAGGCAGCGACATTATGGAAACGGACGCTGAAAAGGCGGCTGGCTCCCGCCTGGACTACGATCTGATGATGGCCGAGGAGTACATACTCAGCGATGTGGAGAAGAACTTCATTCTGGCCTGCGAGCGCGGTGATTTGCCAGGTGTCAAAAAGTTAGTATTTACATAGGATAGAAACTCTGACTAGGCTAATCCAATGCTGTGCGTCTTACTAGAATCTTAGAGGAATACGCGGCGACACCGTCTGACAAGTTCAACATCAACTGTACGGATCCCATGAATCGCTCCGCTCTGATATCGGCCATTGAGAATGAGAATTTCGATCTGATGGTCTTGCTGCTGGAGAACAACATTCAGGTGGGCGATGCTCTGTTGCACGCCATATCCGAGGAGTATGTGGAGGCAGTCGAGGAGCTGCTGCAGTGGGAGGAGAGCCATCACAAGGAGGGCCAGCCCTATGTGAGTTGTCTGATATTTCTTTTATAGCCCTTGGCTAACATTCTCTCTCGGACCAGAGCTGGGAGGCAGTGGATCGCTCGAAGTCCACTTTCACCACGGACATAACGCCGCTGATTCTGGCTGCACATCGCAACAATTACGAGATACTCAAGATCCTGCTGGATCGAGGAGCAACGCTGCCCATGCCGCACGATGTCAAGTGAGTGCGCACTCCATCATCCACTCCACCAGGAGGAGTTCATATTGGTATTGTTTGCAGGTGCGGTTGCGATGAGTGTGTGACCTCGCAAACCACGGACTCACTGCGTCACTCGCAGTCGCGCATCAACGCCTATCGGGCACTCTCGGCCAGCTCGTTGATAGCGCTCAGCTCACGTGATCCTGTGCTCACCGCCTTTCAGTTGTCATGGGAATTGAAGCGCCTGCAGGCCATGGAGTCGGAATTCCGTGCGGAATATACGGTAACTGAAAGCTGAAAAAAAGATTCTTCTTAATTATAACATTTTGTTGTTAAATATTCATCAGGAAATGCGTCAAGCGGTGCAGAACTTTGTAACGGCGCTCCTGGATCACGCGCGCACCTCCATGGAGTTGGAGGTGATGCTGAACTTCAATCATGAACCATCCCACGAGATCTGGTTTCCCGGCCAACGGCAGACACTGGAACGCCTCAAACTGGCCATTCGCTACAAACAGAAGACGGTCAGAGATGCAGCTCATCTATCTTATGCAATGTATTCCATTTGCTGATCCCATTCCAGTTTGTGGCACATCCAAACGTTCAGCAATTGCTCGCTGCCATTTGGTATGAGGGTTTGCCTGGCTTTCGGCGCAAACAAGCATCCCAGCAGCTCATTGACGTCATCAAGCTGGGCTGCAGCTTCCCTATCTACAGCTTGAAGTACATCCTGGCACCAGACTCGGAAGGGGCCAAATTCATGCGCAAGCCATTCGTCAAGTTCATCACGCACTCCTGCTCCTACATGTTCTTCCTAAGTGAGTGCTGAATATCTGAAAATATTTGAGCTTCTCTCAATTTCTTTCATTGTTTGGCGAATCAGTGCTTTTGGGCGCAGCTTCGTTGCGTGTGGTGCAAATTACATTCGAGCTGTTGGCATTTCCCTGGATGTTGACTATGTTGGAGGATTGGCGAAAACACGAACGAGGCTCGCTGCCGGGACCCATAGAGCTGGCCATTATCATGTATATTGCGGCGCTGATATTTGAGGAACTCAAGAGCTTATATTCCGATGGGCTGTTCGAGTACATCATGGATCTATGGAACATTGTGGACTACATATCGAACATGTTCTATGTCACTTGGATACTTTGTAGAGCCACCGCTTGGGTGATAGTGCACGTAAGCTGGACTCTATTAAGCATGGTTGATCAATCGTCGTCATTGCGAATTGCTTTCAGCGTGATTTGTGGTTTCGTGGTATCGATCCGTACTTTCCTCGCGAGCATTGGCATCCCTTCGATCCCATGTTGCTCTCAGAGGGCGCC